GCTCATGAACGTTATCTGTTACAGATCTTATAATTATTGAGCATTGGTCCTTCACAGTTACATCCTGAGTTGTATCCAATTGAACTGAAAACATACCATCAGATTTAATGTCCTGCGAAATGGTTTTCTTTATTATTTTTCTCATTGCATCAATAATATAATTTATTGTCACCTTCGATATGAGGGTAATCACATTTCATCTCCCCTTATTCGCCAAATTAGATGCATGTCTATCATTACTTTTCTCAATAACTGTATCAAGATGGGTTTTTTTTATTATTGGGTAAATTTTGACAAGAGTAATAAATTTCCAAGAAATTTCCATGATCGATTGTATCGTCGTTTAATGTATATTCATCATTTTTGGACCGATAACTAAGACCACGTTTTCCAATAATTTTCAGAATCTCAATTACTCTTTCCTGCACTTGTCTCATTTCTTAAACTTGTGGTACTTTTTTTTTTATTTTGCTGAGAGAATCAAATGCTATCATTGTCTTTTTCACTTACAGACATTATATGAGCTTCCACACACTTCTCGTGATATTTGCTGTTTTCATGTTCCTCTTTCTTTACGTAACAGTACGGGTGTTGTTGGTTTGGACATTATGGACCCGCCACTTTGGTTGCGGCCTCTAATATTACCAAATATTAGTTATTAATTATTATTCTATCACCGGTCCTGGCGGCCCATCGGGAATCTTCCCGGTGTCCCGGCGGCCCAGTCCATCCCCTGGGAAGGGGTGACCGCAGTGCGCGGCACTTTAAGGGGTTTAAATATACCATTATCCTTGAGCTTTGTAGCCGCGTTTTAGTATGGCATATTTATCACACTTCGTCCGTTGTTGGCCTTTAGTCGAGGTACGCCACTGCCATCGTACTATCTTTAGAACTGTATTTGTATGAACACTTTTCGATTTTTAACTTCTCGAATGCTGAGTTCAAGCATCAGAGATCTACGATGTGACCGCAGGCGAAAAGAAAGGGGTGAGGTGTGTGTGTGTGTGGGGGGGGGGCCTCATGATGGAGAGCAACCAATTATCCGGACAGTGTTGAAATACTTTGGCCTAACAACAGCATCGGCAGATGATGTTTCCCCCGAGGACGTAGTAAGATGTTTCAGGTCAGAATTTGGGTCACTGGAACTTGAAAATTTAAACTGCTGAGACTGTTGTTCATTGGCTATTGAGTGATGGGTTTTTAGATTGATCTGACGTGAGCTGGGTGCGTTGGATATTCATAAAAAGATGATATATATATATATATATATATATATTTAAGGAGGGCATTGCATTATTCAAATTTTCAAAGAAACATCTTTTAAAAAGAATTAAATATGCTCCATATTTTGAAAGTTTTAATTGTCAAAGAATAGAATTGAAATTAGAATATTTTTATTTAATCTCAAATTTTTTTCTTAAAATGTGTTTATTTAATCAAGTTATAAACTAATAATAAATTGATATATCATTTTTATTGGGCTAACCTCAATTTTCAGTCGATTGCATTGCATGGGTATCATAGTTTCACTAAGTCAAAGTGATCAAATCAATTTTATAGCTTCAGTACGATGTCATAGAGATCAACAAGGGCGGTTTTTTTCCCCTTATTCATTGACACAACTAACGAAATGTGTATACAGCAATCGATGATGTTGTAGCCAATCCACCTGTAGATTCATCTCACCATCCATACGTTGTCTACTGACCTTCCGATTTTATAAGCATCCATGATTGTGTTTTTATTTGTTGAGTTACATGTGGATTCATTCATCTCTGGCTGTGCACTAAGCCGCTTGTGGATATAACTATCAAATGTCGTGTGTTTACATAAAAATCTGGATACATCCGTCAATTGTCATGCTTTTAAGCAACCTGCAGAACCAACAAGCCACGCGCCGATCGTTTTAGAAGCATGTTGATAAATCTATCCATATCTTCATTGTTTCTCGAGCCCGTTGATACATCTATTCATACCAATCCATACCAATCCATACCAATTCATACCAATCAATACCAATCCATACCAGCTTTCTTGCGCGTTACTTTAATTACGTTCAAACTTGTTTTTTTTTTTGTTTTTTTTTTCATTCCATTCTTCTTTTGGTAACATTTTTCGTTCCCTATGGAAGTTCATTTTTTTATTATTATTATTATTATTATTATTATTATTATTATTTTTTATAGTAGTAGTATTATTAGTATTGGGATTATTATTTAAGGTCTCGGATTTTATTTTTTTCTTTAGGATGATAAGCTGTTTCCCTAGAAAGCAAACGGCCTTCCCCCTCCCCCCCCCCCCATATCTGGATAGCCCAATGAAAACATCATGTATAAATGATACAGCTTGATACCGGTGGCTTCGCAGGAGTTTTCATTGTGTCGGTGTCACACCGCCCACGTGATTCCATCTCCCAGTGTGAAGTCAGGGTTTCACTTGTCTTAGATTGGGTGTCCTCCACCAGGGGTGCTGGATGTATTTTTTTTTTGCTTGGATTTGAAATCTAGCCCATACGCATGGCAGGGACTCAGTTTAGAACGCTACCACCCAGCTCTGTTGATAAACCTAGAAAAGCATAGAGACAAGAAACTATGCAAGTAATCAATCATCATCATTATCACTGATTTGTATTTACAACTTTGAGAAAGAGAGATTTTGACGGAATTATAGATAGTCATATCTCCCCGACCTCTGCCAGTACTCATCCCCCCCCCCCCACTTTGCCAACACGCAGCTCTCCCCAACTCTCCCAACAATCATCTCTCTCACTCTGACATTGCTCATCTCCCCCCAATTCTGCTGATTCTCAGCTTGTTTGGCTGTGAATTCCAAACGGACGGCCTATTAACGATTTCTGTGGACGCGGGCGATTGTTCCGTTTGAGAATGTGGTCATTACCCCACCCGTGTCACTGTTTGAATTGTAAGTGTATCTAATACGTTTGCTTGAAAAAAAAACTAATTTGCTAAGACGATGATAATGAGTTGTAAAACAAATTAAAAAAAAAAACAAGTGCTTATTTTTTCAAACAGTTATGTGTTCCATATCAAACATTGGTCTAACCGTTATGTAATTATAGAATTTCTGGACCCATTCGAAGCACCGCATGTCTTGGATGCTGGGATTTCACAAAAAGAATTCAAAAATGTTTCTGCTCGATACTTTATCTCACACATAAATACCCCATGTTCCTGGAAAATCCTGAGATTCTCACAATGTGCTTTAGCCTGAGACTCGTGGTGCTCCTCGGAATTTGGACCTGCGCGTCACACATGTTGCGCACCATCGGCACCAGCACCGCACCGGAGCCTTACATCAAGGACGACCACGTTGTCGTCAACATATGCGTCCTAGTGCCTTTCGACTACGTCAGGATGTTTTCGTTCTACCGGGTTTATCATGCCGTGGAGTTGGCGGTGGCGAAGGTGGAGCTGACGCTCCTCCGGAAACCGGAGATTGACGTGCGGATCAAGTACGGCAACACGGGATGCAACTCCGCGGATGCTCCGATCGAGGCTTTTGAGCTCTACAGGCACAATTTGGTAAGCACGATTCATTCATAATATAAAGTAATAATGTAATTTGTGGTAGAATAGAATCAGGGGCGAGAATTGTGGGCAGGTAATTTTTTTTTTTTTACTAGGATTGATTTGTGAAGAAAGAATTAAAAATAGAAGAAGAGAATCCTAGTTTTTATTTTTTATAATTATTATTCCTTTTTTTTTTTGTATTTTAAATTAAAAATCCATTTTGTTGCACTGTCTAAATGCTGACGAGAACATGTGATAGTTGGGGAACCCCCCAAAAAAGTCAATTAAGTTTAAATTATTTTTTAAATTATTTTTTCTCGTTGATAAGGCATAGTGGTCTAAAGTAGAAACACATTTCATTTAATGAATTAAGATGGATTCGTATGAACTATCCGAATATCAAGTTTTAAAAATTATGCACAAGTCCGCATTTGGACATTTTTATTTTTTCAGTATGTGAAAGATTGTCAATTAATCCTTGAACATCAGACTATTGCATTCGTGCACCACAGCCATGTTTCACGCTAGACTATTGCATTCGTACACCACAGCCATGTTTCACTCTAGACTATTGCATTCGTGCACCACAGCCATGTTTCACTCTAGACTATTGCATTCGTGCACCACAGCCATGTTTCACTCTAGACTATTGCATTCGTACACCACAGCCATGTTTCACTCTAGACTATTGCATTCGTGCACCACAGCCATGTTTCACGCTCTGGACTATTGCATTCGTGCACCACAGCCATGTTTCACGCTAGACTATTGCATTAGTGAACCACATCCATTTCTAAAAGCAATTTTCAACAACAGAATACCTCGGCCCGGCTCCCAAAATTTCCGAACCCTTCTCGTCACATGACATGCTTCTTAGCACATTTAGTAATGCTCCCTTACAAAACAACATTGACTCAGTTATAAATAAAGTCTTATAAAAAATAAAAAACCACAGATTCCGTCATAAATGCAGTCCTACAAAACAGCACTGACTCTGTAACAGAGTTGTATTAGCAGTCATAAAACATGTTTAGAAAAAAAAAATAGCCTAATTGTATTTGTTTTTTAAAAATATAACTGCCTCATGACAAGTATGAGGCAGATCAATTTTGTCTTTCTCATTCAAAGCGAAACTTTCTATTAAACTGTCACGGTGGAAGATAAGAGTGATAGTAGCGTCATTGGAATGATAAGTTAATGGACAGTGCCTACACCGTTTCAATGTGGATATGGCTATAGCGATTTACCTTAAGAAAAATTTACCAATGAACATTTTAAATAATCTATTGCGACAAATTTCAAACCAAATTTAATTCAATTTTACAGTAGTTTACGATTCGTCTTTAACAAAATTCAAATGCTTTTATTTGCTTATTTAGATGCATTTACTCACCAATTGAGATTCCATTGCTTAACAAATTCAGATGTATTTACTTACCAATTTAGACTCCATTACTCACCAATCATCGGATGCAATTACTCCCCATTTTTTTTTTTCTTCAGGTCTCTGTATTTATTGGCCCCACGTGTGACTACAGCGTCGCCCCTGTCGCCCGGTACGCCCCCAGGTGGCACATCCCCGTCATCTCACCCGGCGCCTTCGCCCACGACATGTCCGACAAGCAGGCGGAGTACTCCACATTGACGCGCATCGGAACGACCTTCAACTCGCTCGCGTACTTCGTCATCACCAAGGTCATGGGCGCGTTCCACTGGAGGCGCCTGCAGTTCATCTTCGACTCGAACGGCCACTCGTCCGTCATGCCCAGGTTCTGCTACCTGGCCTCGTCCAGCTTCATCAACAGGGCCAAGGCCAACAGGTTCAACCACGTGGTGAGCATGTTCAGTGTGGACGATCTGAACATCGACCAGGTTCTGAGGAACGGCACGAAGAACGAATTTGCCAGTGAGTGAGTCGAATTTCGTTTCAGAGTCTGATGTGTGGGGGGGGGGGCTATGCCGGGAGATGACGTGTCTGGATTGTGTGGTTACGTTTTTTTATTTTTTTTAAACGGTTTTACTTTTTTTGAATCCTTTTT